ATAAGTATTGAATAATATAATAATAAAATTTAATTATTGAAGGATGTATATTAATGAATTATAAGTCAATTTAATATTATTAGTTCTTATTAAATATTTAATAAGATAATTCTGATTAATTATATGAAATAAAAATGTATTTAATCAAATATAAATCATAATTATAAAATAACATTTATTTTAATGAAATAATAGAATTTGTTTACGTGTTAAGATATTGCACATGAAGGAGAAGTTATATAAGGATTTTGTTTAAATTTGGAATGCTAAGATTCAAAATCTTAGTTTTGTCTTTAATGTGGATTAGATCCTAAAAAACATACTAATTGTAAGAAAGATCTAAAAGGATTTGGTTTAATTTAGAGTTTTATCACTAAATTCAATTAGTATATACTTGATTTGACTATCTAATTAAATTAATCTTATTCATCAATCAAAACAAAATATGAAGAATTCATAAAATAATTGGATAATATGAAAAAATAATTACTTAAGATATCTGATGATTTAAATTAATAAGATTATAAATAAATCAAAGATAATTTGTAAATGATAAAGGAATGGTATTAATATTCAAACAATCAAGAAGAGATCATGAAGTAGAATTAAATTGGTATTTTTTGATTAATAATATTTAAAGGAACTTAATTACTTAGTATAAAAAAAATGATTCAAACTTTAGATTTTGACAATAAATAATAATAATAATAATAAATTAAAAGTATATATCAAGATAATCAAATAACACTTGAATAAGGTATTTAATTTATTCAAAATTATATTAGGAATAGAATTACTAAATTAACAAAAATGGTAGGAAGCTAATCAAAAAATAAATGAATATTTAAAATTACTAGAGAAACAATCATCATTTGCAACATTTTTTTAAGGTAATTACAAATTATATATATAATTAATTAAGGTATTTCTTTAATTGAAATGAATCAAAATGGAAAAGGAATTATAATGAGAGAATAAGCCAAGAAGATTAATAATAACTTATATAAAGATATATTGGATTATTCAGATTTGGAACTTAAGAAAAATCCAAAAAATAAATTTATTTTAATTGCAAAAAGTTAATATATTTAATTATTTTTATAGGCTATGCATTAGATGATGAAAAGAAATATCAATTAGCCATTGAGTAATGCGAAAGGGTTTTAATAGAAGAACCTAAACATCTTCATGCATTGTATAGAAAAAGTAAACATTTATTTATTAATAGGTTTTACTTTATACAATTTGAAGGAAAACTCATAAGCGATGTAATGTATTGATATAGCTTTAAATTATGATTCTAAATATATTGTTGGATATAACATAAAGGGTAATTTATTAGATTATGATTGTAATAGGTAATTCATTAAATAATCTTGGGAAATATAATGATGCTATAGTTTGTTTTGACAAGGCAATCCAACTGGATCCTAATTTTGCATTGGCTTATTATAATAAGGGTTAATTATTTTTTATTTTATAGGTGCTTTACTATCTCAATTGAAAAAGTATTAATAAGCTATCGAGAATTACTAGCAAGCACTTGTTTATTGCAAAGAAGACCAAAATGAATTTAATAAATTAATTATGGAATTAAGATTTAAGAAATGAATATTTATAAAATATTATTAATAAAATATATATATCTTAAATTTATTGTACCTGCAAATTTGAGAAAATTATTATTTTAACATCAAAATAGAATGTCTTTCTTTTTACAAAGACCAACAATATTAATTAACTGAATAGGAAACATAAATAAACTATTTTTCCTATCTGTTGTACCTATTAATATTATTTGACAATTTCACATTAATTATGTTAAACATTATAAATTTCTTTACCATCATTTTTTATTATATGAATTTGTTGTAACATATTACATTTTTCAATAAATCATAATATCATTTTTTTTATTTATTTTTCGACCAAAAATATGTTTTAAGAATTCAGATAGAAATCCAAACATATATTTCCTATTTTGGGTAATAAGTGGATTTTCAAAAAACTGTTTAATTAACTTTGTAGTAGTAAATGCCATGCAAACAATTTTGCAAGTTTTAAGTATATTTACATTTTATTCCTATTCATTAAATTCTAAATTTGAGATTTAAATTCTCATTACAACACCACAAATCGTTTTAAAAGATAATAATGAGGATTATGAAAAGAATATTTGATAAAAATAGTTCCATCTGATGCTGATCTAATCAGTTAATACTTTAACATGTATTAGGATCCCCTTATTGATGGTAATTGTAAACTTTGATGCATTGATATTGTAAATTTTACATATAATACTATAAGATGGCTTAGATTTTTTAAGATTTAAAAATAATAAAGAGAAATTTTCATTAACTTTTTAAAAGTTAGGGGAACCAAACCCGCTTATTGAGTATATCAATGGCTCTTAGCCAGAGAAATCATTTTAACCTTAGAGACATCAACTAAGGGATAAAAATGTATTAATCATTAAACCACAACCATAGGTATTGGTGAGTACTTTACCTTTTTAGGAATATCTAAAAAAAACTAAATATTTACTGAAATCGGCAGTTTTATGCAGAGATTTAGCTATTTTCTATTTTCTTGAATTTTTATTTTCCTAAACGTCATGACCCTGTTAACAAAAGTGTTGCCCTGCCATCATGCAGAAAATGAAATTTAAGTCAGTTTTTGGCTGAGAATTTAAAACTTTCAATTTGATTTTCGAAAAATTAACTATTTATTTTTTATAAAAAGTTAGTTTGTGCTTTACGAACATGATAGTTATTAAATTTTATAGTTATTAATAATTAAGGACTTAAAAGCGATCGAACCCTGAGGTAGACTGATGCGAGATTACCAACAAAATATAAAAGAAGTAATGTGGAGCAAAGAAGGTTGCAGAATTCAAAAAAATAATACAGATTCCTAAAGTAGTCGGTCCCTCTTTTTTGCTTAATATGAGAGTGTATCATATCACTTGAATGGTTTGAATTTGACACGAACAATTAGTTTTGGTTCTATTCAAACTTAAGGAAAGCTCTTGGGAAGCGAATTTATTTCGTGAGTATTTTTTTATTCATTCAATAAATTGAAAATAAATTTTAGAAATGATCGATAGTTATTAATTAATTTAAATAAAACCAGAATACTAAATAAGAGATATTATTATTTTATAAAAATTAATAAGTATTGAATAATATAATAATAAAATTTAATTATTGAAGGATGTATATTAATGGATTATAAGTCAATTTAATATTATTAGTTCTTATTAAATATTTAATAAGATAATTCTGATTAATTATATGAAATAAAAATGTATTTAATCAAATATAAATCATAATTATAAAATAACATTTATTTTAATGAAATAATAGAATTTGTTTACGTGTTAAGATATTGCACATGAAGGAGAAGTTATATAAGGATTTTGTTTAAATTTGGAATGCTAAGATTC